TGTGTGTGTGTGTGTGTGTGTGTGTTTGGAGAGAGACTATTAAAAACTGAAAAGAATTTGAGACACTGTTGAAGATATGGTTGCTTAACTATGAACCACATAGGTTCACATGATGAGGGGTACTGATGCCTCATTGGACCAGATAAGCCCAACCTAGGCTACAGGTTGCCATAAATATAATTTCATTCATTATCTCAATTCCACTGACATCCTAATGCGGCAACAATATGATTGTGTATCATGCAAATCAGATAAGGATTTTAAGCTGTTCACTGAGTAATTCAAAACTGAAAGTTTGAATATGAAGTATGTTTCTTACTATCTTAGGAAGAAACTAATTCAACAAGTGATTCTTTTTTCATATTTACTGGATACCTCAGAGTATGATTTAAAAATCTTGTTATTAACTTTATCATGTTAATGTGCAAAGGGACACTTTCTCATATTATACAGACTTGTGCTTCTGTTGCCCTTAAAGCTATCAGGCTCTGTAGGGAGCAAAATAAACTCATATTCCATTCCTCCAAGACTAAAACTACTGTACATCAAAAGGGATCAAATTGCTGAGGAGAGGCACGGTCCCATTTAGAGTTGGTACATGACTTGGGGATCTTCTTAGATTGTTTTACTGCTTAAGCAAAAGTAAAAGACTGTTTCTGAGTTTTGCCTGAGGCAACTTTGCTCAATTTTGGTATATCTCAGGATCAAGGTGCTATTCTACCGGTTCGGCCCAGTTCTGGCGTACTGGTAACGCCGAAGATCAGCCGAGAACGAACCAGTTCTCTCTGGGAGCTGCTGTTGGGCCTGCCCATCCGCCCAGGCTTTCATACTGACCTTTATTCCCTGCTTTTGAAGCGCAGCTGCTTTGCAAGGCACAGCAGATTGCCACACGTCAGCTGTTGAAGCTACAGGAGTTTGGCACGTGTGTACACGCAAAGTGTGCGCGCGTGTGCAAAGCATGCCCACCAAACTGATGGTAAACCACTTTGAAACCCACCACTGCTGAGGATACTTTAATGATGATTATTGTATTGCGTGCCATATGTGGAAGCCTTTCAAAACTATCTGGAGACAAAAGCTACTTTTGATTTATGATCACACTTAGGACTGGAACTTCCATCAGTAAGAAATGCAGCTGTTAAGTGAATTGTGCCTAATTCTACAACCTTTTTTTTTTTTGCCAAAGTTGTGCAACAAACCATCACAGTGAATCATACAGTTACTTGTTAAGCAAATCTGGCTCCTCCCACTGACTTTGCTTGTCAGAAAATCTGTGGAAATCCCACAAATGGTGATTAACTGACCCTGGGATACTGCAACCATATATGCTAGCTGCCAAGTGTCCAAATTCCGATCACTTGAATTCAGGTATACTGTGATGATTACAAGTTCGAGTAAGTCACTTTTTCCACTACTGTTGTAACTTCAAATCATCATTAAACGAATGTAAATCAAGAACTACATGCAGTTCAGAATACAACAGTGATATTGTTAGCTGGTTAAACCAGCCATTGCAGGGTAACACTTCTTCTGAAGTCACTATAGTAACTATTAATCAATTTCCAGACCAATTCTGATCTGCTGGTAGCTATCTCTGAAGTTCTGTATGGTGTTACATCAGCTTAAACCACACACTGCCTTGTCAGAAACAAATCTGCTCATTGGTGAAACTAACTCTAGACCTGTTAAGAGTTCTGTCTCCAACTGAAGTGAGAACAATATGGACAGAATGACAGGCTTCTGTGATGGGCCCCACACTTTTACCCCAGAGGTCCATAAAGCTTCTTCTCTCATACTTTCTAGATCTTCAAGAGCAATTTTATTCACCAAGCCTTCAACTCTAGTTAAGTTTAATTCACCTTGGGGAAGGATTGATTTATTATTTAATTTCTTACTAATAGACTTGTGTACTAGTTGTTTTATGTTCTTACAATTTGATTTATTATTATTGCTGCTTTTAGGATTTTAGTGTGTGGTAAACTATTCAGAATCTTTTGCTTTGGATGGGCTGGCTATGAAAACTGTTAAATAAATGAATAAAATATTGTATGGCTTTGGTTTGACGTATTAGGTTTTGTAAGTATTATATTTTTAAACCAATACTATTTAAGATGTGAACATACCTTTGAATTACATTTGAATTACATTCAAAGGTACGTTCACATTTGAATTTTATATCCAAAATTTGGAAGAATTATATGAATAATGAAGGACACTGACCACAGGGAAGAGAGTAAAAAAAAATCTCTCTTTAATGTCGAAAGGAGCACAACTCCACATTTTCTATCTTAGATTACTAATATGTATTTGCTTTCTATTTATCAATTGGCTCTCTATTGACTTAATGGAAAGACTGATCAATATTATTTCGTGTAGACAGGGTTTAATTATGTATTTTAAAACTAGGTTAACGATTTCTCATTTGCAAGGCAATGGTCTAACAATTTCTTCTATTTTTTTTTCTTTTTCCATATATATTAAGAAAGACAATTTTTAAAAAATTGTCTGGTTTTTTTCTCAGCAAAATTACAACATATTTAATCATTATAAACAGAAACACAGTGAAGCTCTCTGAAATATGGCATATTCATAAAGAGTTGCTGGATTTCTGCTAGTCACTCAGCTAGTGAAGGCAAACTCAAGCAAGATAAAATACGCTAATAAGCTTGCTAACTGCTTTCTCTTGCCTTCTTTAATTCTGTGACCTCTAGATTGGTCATAGCAGCTGGAGAATTATAGGATTTGCTCCAACATACCTGAAGAACATCAACTGAAGAATGCTGGTCTTCTAATTCACAAAATATCTAAATGCTGATATATGAAGGACAGATTGAATGAGAGAAACATATGCAAACATGCACAAATAAAATAGAATGGTAAATAAATATTATTGCGCTGTATTCATTTTCAGGACACCATTGGCTGATAATTCTTTTAAAACAGTTGTGATAAAGAGTTCTAATACACTAATCACAAACCTAAAACATATTTTAAAATTAAAATACAATCAAACTTTAAATAAGACTACAAACAAAAGGTCAGTCATAGAAAGAAAATAATCCATAGGATCTAACTGTACCTTTATCCTTATGCACATTTACTCAAAAATAAGTCCTGCTTACCAGAACATATTGCAAGTAAATGTGATTGAGACTGCAGCTACCCAATATAAGTCTATAGATTTTTATTCAATAAGTAGTGTGTCCAATGTGGTTTAGTCCCAGGAAAGCATATGTAGTGTTTCAGCTCCATTTCCTTTGTCGTGGAATGAAGAAGCAAGCACATCAGACAAATCTGGATTGATATGAAAAAGATAAAATCACACCACTAAAATATGTTTCGTACCCTTTTTCAATTTCTCAATCTCAGATAAATATGACAATGTGGCATTGATGCCTTTACAAGGTGAGCAGCAAAAAAGGTACAAAGATTGTGGAAAAATGTCTCATTTTCATAGCAGTGCAGAAGAATATTAAGGTTCCATGAAAAAGACTGCATATAGTTGCCATTACAGGAGTTTATGAAATATATAAACAAAGATATGTCCAAAAGCCCACTGGTGGAGATACACACACACACACACACACACACACACACACACTGTACTTTGACGGGTACCTCCATAAAGAGGAGCATTCTTCAAGTTTAGAGATTTATGCTACTTAACTGATATACTCCTTTGAATTTATTTATATCTAATTTGCAAGATGGGAAGAGGAAAGGGTTAAGGCAAGCTTTTTGTTAATTCTTTGCAATATGTTGAAGCTCATATGGCACTTTAAAGAAAAATCTTCATTATCACTAGAGAAAGAGGGCTAATTTCATCTTCTCAGTAAGCCTTGGAGAAAAATGAGAAAGCACTAAACGAAGCTTCTAGTCACTACCCAGGTACTTCATTTATCACCTCGGCAGTAAAATAAATGGTCAAATACTCAGTCACAGACACCTCCACAAGAAATACGTTTTTTTTTTTTAAAAAAAAATAACAGTATACCATAACACTGAATGAAAAAAACAGTACTGGCTTGCACCATATGTTTAGATGCCCTTTTTAATAAAGAGGGTAGGCTAAGGCACTTTCTGTTCCCCTGAAGGGGCAAATGTCAGCAGGTACACTCTTCTGCAGGTTAGCATGTCGATAGTGATAAATGCGGTCAAGAACCCAAGCAGATGGCAAGAGGAGGAGGAAGGTGGTCCTCCATGAACCAGGAGATCTAGGAGAACCAGCAGCGCCCCCTTCAGAAAAAAAAAAATACCCCTCAGGACCTCCTCCCCATTTGCCATGTGTAAGTAGTACCCTGTTGCGATTCGCCACTCCCCACATCTCTCTCACTACACGTAGAAATCCAAGCAACCGCGGGTACCTTCCGCCCACTGAGCGAGCTTCGTCTCGACCACCTTTCCGAATAAACACGCGCGTCATTCACCGCCTCGGTTTTTCCACCGCAGGCAGGCGAAGCCGCCCCTCGCCTCGCCATCCCCAACGCAGCTTTTTCCTTCCTTCCTCCCCTCACCCTCAAAGCCTCACAGCGTCTCCTCACCGCCGCCGCCGCCGCCGCCTCCCTCACAAGTTCCAAGCGCTCGCCCGGGACTGCCGGACTGTTGAATCCGGCGGCGGCCGTCGCCGCCGCGTCCTTGTCGCCCCCTTTTCTCTTGTCGCATCAACTTGGGGAAGGAGGGGAAAAGAGCGAGCCTGTGGCTCCACGGGGGCGAAAGAACGGGGGTGGGATGGGGGTGGGTGGGAGCGAGACTCTACCCCGTTCACACAGGTTAGATGACACGCAATGTGGCGCGGGCACCTCCTCCGCCCCGCCAGGGCCTCTCGCTCGATAAGTCGCGGAGGATCCGGCCGAGCTTTTCCGCCCCTCGCGCTCCGCCGCCGGCTTCAGCAAACCTTGCGGGGCGATTTTTCTGCCTCCTCGACTGCAAGGAGCCTCGGGCATCCCGGCCCATCCCCCCCCCCGCTCCCCCGGAGACGGCAGCCGACGCCTTTTCCCTACCTTCCTCTCCGCGCCTTTGCGCCAAAGCCGCGCGCGACGCACAGCAGCCGCAGCGGGTCTGGCTGGGATGCGGATGGCGGGAGCGGCGGTGGCGGCAGCAGCGGCAGCAACGGAGTGGCAGGCAGGAAACCTGGGAAGCCGCTTTTCCTTCAGCCGCTAATCCGGCCTCCCGCTCCACCATCTTCCTCCGCCTCTTCTCGCTCCTCCTCGGCTCAGTCCAGCAGCCATCCGCGACAGCGCCTCTTTCTGCCCCCGCCTCCCGCGCCTCCTTCAGCCCGCCTCCGAAGCTTCCCCCGTGACTCCGGTGTGGCGACCAGGCTCGCAGCTCCGCCGGGGGGCGCTTCGCTTAGACCGGTGCCACGGAAACGGAGGAGAGGCCTGAGGGGTATTTTTTTTTTTTCCTCAGGCGGCGGAGATGGCATTTTTTTCCTTCCACGGGAGGAAAGGAAGGAAGGCAGACCTCCGACCCGCGGATCTCTCTTCGGGTGTTGAAAAAAGAAAAAAAAAGCGGTTCGCTTAATTGTTGCTTCGGTTGCTGGGTTGCAAGCATATTAATCCGAAGTAACGACTTTCTCTGATGATGTGCAGAGGCCGCTTCTCTATCTCGGAGTGCACATTAAGGTTAGAGGGTTACAGGTAGTCTTCGATTTACAACAATTCGTGTAATGACCCAAGTTACAATGGCACTGGGGGAAAAAAGATTTATGCAAATACTTTTCACGCTGAGAGTGAAAGGTTAACCTGTATGAACCAGTTGCCAAACATCTGAATGTTGCTGCCACGGTTGTGTGAGAAATGATTTGTGATCATTTTTCACACAACGTTACAGCATCCCCATGATCAGCATCCGCATGATGACATCAACATTCAGATGCTTGGCGAGACAGGTCATACAGGTAATTCTCAAGTTACAACAGTTCACTTAGTGATTGGTCGAATTATATGATAAGCGCCTCTAGAATTTACGACCATGTCCCGAAATTACGAACCTTGCAGCACCATGGCAGTTATTCACCCTGACATACGATCACAGAGGCACTGTAACATTCACCCTATTGCCCCCTTCCGCTCCCCACAACTGCTTCTTCCTCCCATCCTGCTGCGCCAGACTCACCTTGCAAAGATCTCTCTTCTCTGCTGTGGTTTCTTTGCCTTTGAGGGAGAGTGGGGCAGAATGATTTCTTTTCCAGCCTACCAGTCGGCTTGCAAATGCTTTTCCATTCTCTGTAAAATTGGATGGGTGCCTAAAGTCGCGTGAGATCACACACACCCCTAGAACATTTCACCCTCGCTGCGAAAAGCACTTGCAAGCTGACCAGTAGGCGGGAAGCGAAATTGCATTGCTTCCAACCTACAAATACTTTTTGTAAGCTTGCAAATACTTTTCACACTGAGAGTGAAAGGTTCTGGGTGTTGTGATCTCACATGACTTCAGGCACCCATCCACTTTTGCAGAGAATGGATGCCTGAAGTCGCATGAGATCATGGACCCCCCAGAACATTTCACTCCCAGTGCGAAAAAGCATTTGCAAACTGGCTGGTAGGCTGGAAAGGAAATTGTCCTGCTCTCCTCTCCCTCAAAGGCAAAGAAACTGCGGAAGAGAGGAGACAGATCTTTGCAAGGTAAATGAGTCTAGGATGGGAGGATGGAAGCATGAAGTATCTCAGTGGGTCAGGGAGGCCTTGGGGGCCTGTTCCATCACTATCCCCCCGCCATAGTCTTTCCCACCCTGAGATACCTCATGTGCACTTAACGATCTACACATTCGATTAGCAAATGCATGGGTGAAAGCAGAGAGTGATCATGTTAAGCGATTCACTCCTACGAATCCTTGAGTTACGAATGTGATTGGCAGGCTCCATTACATTTGTTACTCAAGGATTATCTGTATTTATAACGGTTGCAGTGTCCCAACGACATGTTACCTTTTGTGACCTGACAAGCAATGTGAATGGGGAAGCCAGATTCATTTAACACCATGTTACTAACTTAAAACAATTGTAGTGATTCACTTAACTATGACAAGAAAAGTCATAAAATAAGGCAAAACTCACTTAACAACTGTGTCGCTTAGCAACAAATTTTGGACTCAGTCATGGTTGAAATTCGAGGACTACCTGGTATTGTGCTGTTGTAGCTCTGTAGTACAAAATAAGCTTTGTACACAGGAGTAGCCTGGTATTTCTTGTGAATGAGCAGGCATCTTGACTTTTTTGCTGCTTTTCCCAATGTAAGTTTATTTAGGTTATAAAACTGCTTTCATTTGCAAATTTGCAGTTCTATGTGTTATGCATTTTTATCCCACCTTTATTACTGTTTTCCCCTAGAAAATATGGCAAACATGCATAGTATTCTTCCTTCTATTTTCCCCACAACAACAGCAACCCTCTGAAGTGGATTGCACTGAGAGAATGATTGGCTCTAGGTAACCCAGTTGCCTTCTATGCCAAAGGCAGGACTAGAACTCACAGTTTCCTGGTTTCCAGCCTGCTACCTTAACCACAAGACCAAACTGACTCTATTGAATATTCCTATCCTGTTATCCTTACACTACTTGGAGCACATTCTAAAAGGGCAAATTACTCTCAGCCTCACTGGAAGAAAGATCTGATATAAATCAACAGAGACTTGTATCTACTTCAAGAAGATAATGGAAGAGAAAATAATGAAAAGCATTTGTAACAAAGGGCTCAGGTTTTTTTTTTTAACCTAGGCATCAAGCCTATACAATATTCTGATTTTCTTCTCCCTTAATCTCTCCATGTAGCAAGGAAATATGGTCTTAGACATGCATTTTCTTACCAAGATGGATCCTTTGAAGAAAATCAGGATGTGCACTAAAGCTGGTATCATAAGCTAGGGATCTTTAGAATTTGCAATATTCAGAACTCCCCAAACAATAAACTTTATATGTGCAATAAATAATCCCTCTCAAATAAAGTAGAGTTATAGTTGGGCAAGGAATAAAAATATCACTCTTAATAAATTTTAATTGATAGATCAAAATAAAATCACCAAACAATTTAATTTAAAAGCGTTTCACAGTACTATCGTATATTGGAAATAAGTAAAAAAAAATCAATCAGTTTTATTTATTTTTCACATTTCTGAACTGCCCATCACTCTCAAAGAAAAACCTACCGCCATTTTCTAAAGGGAAAAGATGAACTTGCATAATTCTTGAAATCTGGATTTCATTTCCACTCTTCAAAGTCGGGAGACAAAATAAAACACAAGGCTTTTCCTTGCTTAAACCAGCTTCTCTTAAATTGTTTTGGCTTTGCTGTAACATGGAAAAAACACTGACTGTAAGTTGTTTTTGGCTCTTTCCCAAAAAGAGCCACAGTAAGACAACAAACAGCCCATATTTTTTCTACAATATTCCCTTCTGGTGCTTGCTTCTTGTAAATCCCCCCCCCCCCAATCTCTCTCTCCCTTCCTCCCTCTGCCATCTTGTAGCTTGTTTGTTTTCCTTTTCTATCCTAGGGCAGATATTCAGAGCTTTGCACAGAAGCCTTGTGCCCTCCTCCAGGCATGTTTAATCCTCCTTTGACAGGCATAGTATTGGTGATAGTGTTTTAAAATAAATAAATAACAGGTTTCATAGAGTGCTCAGGAACCCTTGAAAATCAGCTGGGTGACTTTGGGCCAGCCATTTTCTCTCAACCCAACAAACCTCACTGGTTTGTTGTTGTGGGAAAAATAGGAGGAGGAAAGATTATTAGGTATGTCCATTGCCTTGAGTTACAGGTAGTCTTCAACTTACAACAGTTCATTTAGTGACAGTTCAAAGTTACAGCGGCAATGACAAAAATGACCTATGATTGTTTTTCACACAACCATTGCAGCATCCCCATGGTCATGTGATCAGCATTCAGATGCTTGGCAACTGACTCCTATTTATGACAGCTGCTGTGTCCCTAAGTCATGTGAATAGCTTTTGTGAACTTCTGGCAAGCAAAGTCAATGGGGAAACCAGATGCACTTGACAACCATGTTACTTACTTAACAACTTTAATAATTCACTTAACAACTATGGCAAGAAAAGTTGTAAAATGAGGCAAAATTCACTTTAAATATTTCATTTAACAACAGAAATTTTGGGCTCTGTTACAGTTGTAAGTTGAAGACTGCTTGTACTTATAAAAACAATAAGAACACAATATAGAGTTACCTTTGGCAAGATAGGCAGCATACAAATTCAGTAATAAAACATATAAATAAATAAGTTAATGAATGCGTGACTAAGGCAAACAATAAACCGTCAGTAATACAAGACTTGGTTCCTTGCTTCTTCAGCAATTATATCAGGGAAATGTACAAGCCAAATAAGTGCCTTTACCCTTTTTTGCTTATCTACAGAAGCCATAGAAGGAGATGCTGAGACCCCAGTATGGCCTAGAAAGGGTAAAGAGTCCTTCTTTGGGCTCTTTCTCTGCCTTCCCTTAGCAAAACATATAGAAGATGGAAGGAACAATGACTTCACCTCATTTATTCTCTTGCAATCTCTCTTTGGGCAGCAGTAGTAATGAGGATTGCACCTAGTGAATAAACTATTTCCTCAGAGAGGGTAAGAAGAGGAAGCAGCACATAGCTACTCTCAGTTCTGTCTCTCTGGAAAGCAGCAGGAAGGCTGGGTTCAGCAGCAGTGGTGTTGCTAGGATTTCTCAGTATAAGGCCAGGATGCAGCAGAACGGAAGCCTTAAATTCAGGTACCATGTGGTTTGCCTTTAGAATTTATTTGTTAAAGAGTTTATCTTCTTGGGGAATTAGATAGTAGGAAGTCAAGGGGAGGAGAAGTAGAAACGGAGATTGCAAAAAAAAAAAAATCAATATGCAGAGCATATAATATTTTGATCCAAAAATGTGACCAGAAAAATGCCACTATTTAACCAGAAAAAAAGAAAGAAAAGGATATGCGGCTCTTTTGATTTACTTATTGATATATGCTGTACTAGGTTTATTCATTAAAGTGATTGTATTACTTATTTTGTGTATTAACTAAAAATGCCTTGAGTCCATTAGGATTGAGGTAGTGGATAAATTATACAAATAAATGAATAAAATTCTTACTGGTCTATCAGTTCTTCGGGCCCTTATAATATTAAAGGGTGTGGGAAGGCCCCCGCTCCCTATAATGAAATTATTCTACAGGACATTAAAAGATAGAATATTTTCCCGAAAGGAGAAGAGGGGAAAAATCTTTAACAAAGGCAGAAAGCAGCCTCAGTCTTCCTGCCATAGGAAAACAGCCTCAAGCAGAAGCTTGAAGAGGCTAGTCTTTAGGAATGGATATTTTGCATCCATTCAGAAAGCTGGGCCACACTGTTCATATGCAAAGAATAGCCAGAAACCCCAAAATAGGCAAAGAGCCCAAACTGATAAGATTAGCTCAAACCAAACACCTAGGATTTGCATTTCCTCTCTTGCCTGTATAGCCAACCACGACCCCTACATGATCCCATAGGAATATGGCAACAGCCATTAAATTAAAGGACATTCTTAACACAGGAATAGGCATCTCAATCACGAAGTCCCAAAGAATGTATAAAAACCCACCTACTCTCTACCTTATTTTGTCAGCCACCCCAGAAACACGCTGCCGTCACTGAAGTTTCTGGCTATCAGACAGAGACCTTTCCTTCCGCCTGTCTCCATTTTACTTCATTTTGCTCCCAACTGGGAGCTGGACCTGATTTTTCTTCCAATAAGTATTTCAGTTACTTATGAGTTGCTTTTATCATTTTCAGAATTAGATGATTTTCATAGGAGCATGCAGTCATTAAAACGTACTTACAGCTAATCCTCAGTGAACAACAATTTGTTCAGCAACCGTTAAGAATTGTAACAGTGCTGAATATTGTAAGGAGACTTACATCCAGGCCTCAAAATTGCACCCTGTTCCAGCATTCCCGCAATCGAATCATCGCAATTTGGGCTCTTGGCAAATGGCTCACAATTACATTGGTCACAGTGTCCTGTGGTCATATGATTGCCATTTGCAACTTTCACTGCCTGCTTCTGATAAGCGAATTCAACAGGTAAACCAGCAGAAGGTCTCAAATGATGATCGTGTGATATCATGCCTAATGACTGCAACTGGAACTGCAATTAAAAGTCACACATCACATTTTACAATCATGTTGCTTAGCAACAGAAATCCTAGTCCTGATTATGGTCATTAACTGGGGACTATCTGTATAGTTAGCATTGTTATGAGTCCAGGTTCACAAATCAGTGCTTCACAAATCAGAAAGAGCAGGTTAGACAGAGCTTCATGGAGCATCTGTATGGCCATTAACAGTCAATCATGATTAGGGCATATAATCATCTCACCAGTCCATCAGTTCGTCTGCAAAAAATTTCCCTGTGTTTTGGCAAAAAATCTTTTTGACAAACAGTGGTAATGGAAGATCAATTGTAAAATATGAAAAAAAATTGTAGCTTTGTGATGATACAGCAATAAACCTGCATTTATAAGCCTTTCAAAGCAGAATTATAGTACAGGAAAATCAGTCATACTTAAAAGACATGCACAAACACCAGGGTAGATATTTACACGGCTGGAATTGGAGAATAATGCAGATACTGCATGGTTTGTTTTTTTTAAAGGAGATACCTGAAAGTGCCAGAAAGGAGGAGTTGTTTCAAAGAAGGTTTTTGTGGAAAAAGGATAGCTATGGAGATTATTAATTCTTAATAGACCAATGTTAATAAAGTCATAGCTTTCAAATAAAAAAGACTTTTCATAATTAATATGGAGAGAGAAGGTTAAAGAAATATTGGATAAAAATGGATTTGCTTAACATTGTAGATCAGTGAGCGAATGGGGCAGTCTGCCAACAGGCCACAAATGCCTGAAAGAGTTCAGTGTACACAGATGGATTTAAAAATACAGTTCTGCTCACTTATTCTCTCTCATTATGTGGCACGAAGAATTGGGCTAATGGGGTAATGTACCTATTGTCATGCCACTCAAGATCAGGAAAGTGCAGTGTCTGCTGGAGGTGGGGGTGGTAACTTGTGGTAACTTAATATTTTTCAGAGCCCAAATTCACAATAGACAATTTATACTACTATTTTAATAGCAATAGCACTTTGACTTATATACCATTTCACAATGCTTTACTGCCCTCTCTAAGTGGTTTACAAAGACAACATATTGCCCCCAACAATCTGGCTCCTCATTTTACTCACCTCAGAAGGATGGAAGGCCGAGTTCACCTTGAGCCTGTAAGAATCGAACTGCTGGCAGACAGCAGTCAGCAGAAATCGCCTGCAGTGCAACATTCTAACCACTGTGTCACCACGGCTCTTCATAGTATAATAATATAGTATATAATATATAGTAGTAGTAAGTTTATCCTTATATAAAAGAGATCATTATCAGCAATAAAACAATATAATAATTTCCTGGAATAATAATGATTATAAAACTTTTCTGATACTGACACAATGGTTTTATACATCTGTAGACATAATGAGAAATAAGTTTCTTTCAGTTACATAAAGTTCCTGCAAAAAAAAAATGCTTTAGAGACCATTTTAAACTTTAGGAGGTCAGATTTCAGATCTAATTCAAGGCCAAATCAGTTCTAAATAGTAGGGGCTGAATGGGAAAAAGCCCTCAAAACTGAGTGGGGGGCATTTTAACAAAAGGAAAAATTAACTGACCTTGATTATACAAGAACATGAATTGGGAGGATACCAATAAAGAAAAATATTTGCAGCTCAAGATTAAAATGATGGGTCCTTGGTGCTCTCTGAGTGTGGATATTTTCTTGCAAACATTTCAGTACCCAAACATCATTGCTTCTGGTGAAGCTTGGGTTGTTTTCTTGCAGATATTTAATTAACCAAACTAGGTAACACCATCAGTGCAATCAGCAAAATTACTTGTAATTTTATTACCTATTATGGGTAATGAACCATCTTCAAGAAAACAACCAAGCTCAGAGAGCATCAAGGAACCCTCAATTGAAATGATGTTATTCAAACAAGCAAGTATTCCTATATACATAAACTATAAAGTCAGCACATGTAATTTAAACTGATACTGTTCACAAAGATCCAACCATTTTAGGTACTGATGAAAAGAAGAAATAGGGGTGTATCTGCAGAGATCTGGGCAGTTCCTTCCAGATTTAAGGCACTGAAAATTTATTAAACTGAGAAGTCACTGTAAGTTTTTCCATCCTGTCAGTATTGTGTTTGGCTGAACTGAGAGCCTAAAAGGGGAACAAGAAATTAAAGTTTCTGAAAAAAATAAAAACTTAGATGAACAGAGCGAACTCTACAATTGTGCTTTGTTTATTGCATGTGTGTGTTCCTGCCTGAAAATAACTTGGTGTTTATTTATAACAACTGCACACTTGACAAAAAGTTCAAAGTATTGGAGCAGCAGGTGCAGGTCGCTACACTTTGACAGATGAGTGTTGAAGATTCATCAAATAAAGAAAGGAGATGTGGTATCCTAGTTGACTGAGGACACCACAAAATGCAAGGAGTGTGGATGGCTGAAGCAGAGCTAGAGATATTCTCTACCACTAGGTCAGCCTTTCAGGACAGCAAAAGTCAAGAAAGAAGAGCAGGAATTCTAGGAATACTCTCTTATTATTGTAGATTAACAAAATATGGAAAACCTGTAAGTCTCTCTACTCCATCTTTTACCAAAAAAAGACTTGGTTTCACATAATCAATAGAACATTTTATACCCACCATCCCTCAGACTGTAGCTTGCTGTGAATTTTATTTTCTCCATAAATCTTCTCATTGTTGCCCTGTAATTCTTTAAAATTCTGCATCCATTTTATCATCCACCTCTGTGTTGAATTTTAACAAAAAATCATAGATGTGTATAATCTTGGTTCTGTGTAAACTTTTCATCTTTCTCAAGGTCCCTCTTCTCCAAAATTGCTTTTTATTTTTCCAGTTATTTGCAAATACATTAATCATAGTAGATTCCTACTTTTATTAAGAAGTTATGAATCTTGTGGAAAAAATTCCAATATTCTCAATTAATGTAATCCAATGGAATAATGTTCTATGCAATGAAATAAATGGAATGAGATGTCAGAATAGATAAAAAGTAACTGGACATTCAGAGAGCCACAAATAGGGAGAGTGATTGCTTGTTAGTATTGGCTTAGAAAAATATATGTCACTTTTAAATATGTGGTTTAAGCAACATCGTTTCAGATGTTATGAGGAAAGCTTGTGAGATTTATTTATTTATTTGTC